CTGGAGGGGAATCAATTAATAGGCTAAATGGGAGAACAAATAGTGGGCCTCATCTGAACCAAAGTAAGCCCAATACATCTGGATTGCTCTTTCATGTGAGTGGGCTGCAAGGACAAACCCATGACCCAATTGGCAACACACCAAACACCAAAACAAGGGCAAGACAATTCAGCAGCAGCGCTTCTTTTACTTCAATCATAACTTGGTCTATATGCTTCAAGCAATGGGACCCTGGTGGATGTTCAATTACATCCCCTATCATCTTCCTCACCTTGAGGACAAGGTGAATTTTGAATGGGGAGTATTGATGGGCTAGGATTAGTGGGCCCAAGAGTAGCAATGCAAAATTAGTTAGTGAATTAGTTAGTTTGTTATGGAAATTATTCTAGAATAATCCTAAATAATAGGATATAAGGAGGGGATGTGGGAGTGTGAGGTATTCATTCATTCAGAATATTTGGAGTGGGATTTTGGGAAAGGATCTCTTTGGCCTAGGTATTTGGCTTTAGAGTGAGTGAAGTCTTTTGGGTGTTAATTTTCTGTATTTCTTTTATATTGTCTGCAATTTATCCTTGTAAGGAGTTTGTCTCCATTTATATTTCTGCAATTTCTTATGAATAATATTAGGTTCCATCAGCAACTCTTTACCAATACCAAAAGTCAAATATATTCGAGCACCATTTAAACTCAAGCAAGCAATGTACTCATTGGAGGTCCACTTGTAGTTACAGAGCTCATCACTCCCTTGAAGTTATGGATTATACCATGCATACCCACGGTTGATGAGGTGAAGTCAAAAGCAAAGAAATACATTAACACTAGACGAAATAAGTTCATGTCAATCAAAAAATTCAAACAGAATCACGATAAAGAATCATTTCACCCAAAAACATAAATTTGTAAGTAATAGGTCTTTAATTATTTTTATATTATATATTTTTAATACACCCTCTCATGCAAAAGACCTTTGAACTTGAACCTAGAATATTGCACACATCAACTTTTTAAGTTCTACCATATGCTAACATAATTCCACTAAAAAATGAGGGACGGTTGATGATGGACTAGTGATTCTGTGGTCACCATGGCTCTAATACCATAGAAGCAATCATATCACTTAAATTGAACTCGTAACCACTTAATCTCGTCCGCTCTTATATAATATAAAGAATTAATTCAAACTAAAACCTCAAGTGAACCTTTAATAGTTTTTACTTTATATCACTCTAACATCATCGATGGAAAATCATTTTGCAGCTCTCTGCAACCATAAGCCAATCAGAAACCACATTTGAAAAAAACTAGAGTGCGCAAGTGCATGCACACCTTGTGTATTGTTCAGATTGTTTGAAATCACGGGCTTGGGCTCAATAAAGGCCTCCAGGCCAACAACTCAGCCTAATTCCACATTTGACTATGTGAGTGGTAGTTGAAAATGAGCTATGGAAAAGAAAAAAAAAATGGTTTTAAGGTATGATTAGTTTAAAGGGAGGGGTTATACTTACTACCTTCTAAGTTTAATACTTTTACTAGTAAATTATCACCATTAGATTAGATATGATGTTTCTAAGCCCAATAATTGTAAAATATATATATATAATTAATTAAGAATAATATAATGTTTAATTAATGCCAAAGAAAACCATATAATTTTTTTTTTTGCAGCAACAAAAGAAGTATATTCCCCTTTATTAAGGGGAAAACCTTCTCCTGCTACCTATACATCGATTTGTGTTTAGGTTTTTTTTTTTTAATACAATGAGGCCCACCTTGAATATGTGTCTACAAACGATTTTTCTTCTTATGTTAAAGGAGAAACACCCCCTTATATTAATTTGAGAGGGTTTATATAAAAAAAAAAAAAAACAATGAGAATTACTTCTATCATATAGTAGGATAGAAATGTTTTCATGTTGAGAGACAAACAAAGTCGGCTCCAACAAAAAAAAAAATTTCAAAAAAAAGAGGCACATTTTTTTATTTGAGTACAATATAAAAGATCAATCTCATGCAATATGAAAATATGATTTTTGACCAAATGGTGGTAATTCAGTTGACGCATAGGAGCTAAGCAGGTGGGGATGAGAGTATGTGTTCGAATCTTCCCAGTACCACCTTTGGGAGGGGTTTAAAGTCTTAATCCTAGACCCGTCTCGAATCAGATTAGTTGCGAAGTAATAAACCGATTGGAATATTTCTAAAAAAAAAATATGATTTCCCAAACACAATATAAGTTCAAGAAAAACTACTTTCGTCAAACAAGAACTTATATATTTAATCGAACACAAAGATTCTTTACCAATTTCCAGAAAAACAATACCAAAAAAATCAAGAAACAAATACCAAAGATATTTCCTTGAAAAAGAATCCAAGAAAAACTTTAAAAAAAAAATTCAAATGTTAAAAAAAGTCAAAAGCTTCATGTAGAGGTGGCAAAGCGGGCTGCCCGCCCCGCCCCGCCCCAGCCCGCCGAAAAGCGGGTTGGCCCGCCCTGCCCCGCCTTCGAAGATGGGTTAGATATCTCAGCTCGTCCCGTTCCGTTTTGGGCGGGCAGGGCGGGTTGCCCGCCAAGCCCGTGACATTTTACACTAAAAATTAAAAAAAAAAAAAATCAACCCAGGCGGGCTTGACGGGCAACTGGTTTAAGAAACTCAGCCCGCCCCGCCCCGTTTGGTGGGCGGGGCGGGTCGGCCCGGCCCGGCAGACTCGGCCCATTTTGCCAGCTCTAGCTTCATGTCAGTGCATGAAAGATCAAAATTTCAGTTCATAAGTCTTCAAAAAAAAAAAAAAATTCAGTTCATAAGATCTTTCAGTGTCAATGATGAAAGTTGTCAAATGTGACTTTCCCGTGAACATCACTTCACCATTTAGGTGGTGTTTGGTTCGTTTCTTTTCAACAAATTCCTTGGAAAATCAAGTATGGTTTTTAGAAACACAATATTTGTTTTGAATAGATTTTCACCAAATTCCCATCTATGCAATTTGTATGGCTTTATCAACTTTTGTTGAGAAAGATAGATATCCGCACTGTTTAGAAACCAAATTTGAGGATGATTTTTTTGAAAAACCGGGTAGTGAGATGTTGATTTCATAAAAGTTACCTAATTTCTCCAGTAAAGTTTTTCCCCACCAAACAACTTTTTTTTACATTTTCCTACCTATCTCACTTTATCTTACTTTCCAATCATTTCTCTATCTATTACATTTCTTTAGTATTCAAAAAATTTCCTCTCAACCAAACGCCACCTTAGGATTTTTGGTAGATGAGAAATTTTTTGATGACTGAGAATCACAGGGTGTGTTTTTGTTTTTTTTGTTTTTAAAAACTGTTTTGAGAATAAATTTTGAAAACTGATTTTGAGAGTAAAAAAACAATAAAACTTGTTTGGATATAGTTAGTTAGTTTTAAAGTTATAAAGAAGTTGTAGTTATTTACAAAAATGTCATTAATGAATCCTCATATTTACAAGATTGTCACCACAAAGTAATTTAAAATTAAAATAAAATTTGATTTAACTACAAAAATATCATTAATGAATCATTGTATTTACAAAATTGCCACCGCAAAAACAAGAAAACAGCTTTTGAAAACATCCCTTAGCTGTTTTGGTTTTTTGGTTTTTAAAACAAAAACATGAAAGCTATTTTGAAAACATATAAGATGAAAACAACTTTTCTAAACAACTTTTTTTGTTTTATTGTTTTTAAAATTCAAAAATTGTTCTCCAGAAGAGAAATCAATCAGAGAATGTTACAAAATGAATAGTGAAAAAATGAATTATTCGAGAATGTTATAAAAAAAATTGTTTGGCATGCCAAAATATTACCGAAATTATTTGATTAAGTTTACTGAGTCTGTATTTCATTGATTGTGAAATATTAATAAAAATGTGGGATTGTTTTACAAAAATAACTCCACCATCACTTTTTTATTCAAACATGATAATCAACGTTGTTCTTACCCAGAGAAACAACCCCTTCTTGCATAAATATATAACATGGACTCGGAATAATAAGCAAAGTTGGTAACAATTTTAGAGGCGAAGTCCAAAATCCTCTATCAAAGACATCAACAAGCACATACTGAAAGCAAAGACAAAAACAATCATGAAGATCTTGAACTTCTATGTCTTCTCGATCATTTGGAGCTCTAGAGAATGTAGCCAACCACACCCACTTGACCGTCCAACCCCTTCTGAGCTCAACCTTGTCCGAAGCATAATCCAAAAATCATACCAAACACAGAGAAAAGGAAGGGTAGATTTGCCCGAAAATTTGTGTGTCCAAATCCCTACATCCGGTAAACGAGAAATATCACCACTTTGGTGGTATTTTGAGGAGAGAAAATGACTCACAATTTGTACATAACATGAAATCCTGGCAAATATTGTGAAAACTCTTACCAACTATAGGTATATAGGAATTCCACTTTCACTTTCTTGTCGTTCTAATAAAGTTACTCCTACTAAACACCCCCTTAGGATAGAAGTCCTGCAATTTACAAGAGAGACTTCATTTTGGATCAAACGTATGTCTCATTATTTCTTACAATTTTAAAGTGTTGAACGAGAGTTTTTTTAATGATTTATACTATTTTATAACATATCCCTAGTTCAACAATTTTTTGGATTTAAAGCATGAATGTGATATAAGCTCATTATTGATCTGCCTTATACGGTATAAGTCCATTTTTATATTTTTATCTACTTTGTATTTTTTTTTAATTTCACAATGAGATTGTGAGAATCGATCGGCGTTGGATAAGAGCCTTTTAATGACCTACTAATTAAACCAATTGATTTGATACTCCGACTGAGCCAATAACCTGCTCGGATTCAATAACAGTAATCAATACAAGAGATAAAAAATAACAAGTTGGAAAACAAAATAAAGAAAACAATTTTTCTTATGCAATCAGGGAGGAGCAATTTCTACCTTAGCCTATAAACAAAGACTCAGGTCAGGTGTGTACTGTTTGACTCTCTACAATGCTACAACTTCCAACTTTGAAGTCTTGTTGGTGCATTCAAAGCTGAAAAAGGGTAACTCAAAACAAAAAAACAAAGCATAACAACCAAACAGAAATCGTACAAGTACACACACAGAGAGAGAGAGAGAGAGAGAGCTTGCTCTGAAGGTTTTGACTTCGTCTTCCATCACTCATTCATTTGCTTGGAAGCACAAGGTGACCATGACAAGCAAAGCGAGGAAACCATATGCCACCACCTTATATTTAATAGTTCATAGCCGTCTGAAAATGACCCTCAAGAGATCTTGTATTTACTATATTCCAAATATAAGAATAATTCAACCCCTTGTTTTACCCTTCAGCTTCAAGACCAAGAAGAAGAAGTGGGAGGCTGCTATTTTTTGCCTTTTTTGTCTGGATCTCTTAAAAGTTATCAACTTTAAACATGTGGGTCTAAGCTGATAGACTCAGATTATCTTCTTTTCTTTTTTCTTTTATCCTTAAATTTTCTCTCCAGGTTCAGTTCATCCTCCTTCTGAATTTCCTTTTCTTTTTCTTTTTTAATTTGTTTTGATTGATTATCCTTGTCTTTATATGTTATTTGTATTTTGTTCTTATTTTTTAATTTTGTTTTTGATTTAATTTCTTGTTAGCACTTTTCTATAGCTATCTGTTGTTGTCTGTTTCAGGATCTTCTCTTCTATAACTGATGAGTGATTCTTCTTTTTCTGTGCAAAGTCAGTTTTTATAGACAAGATGGAAAACATGGAAAAGAGAAAGTTTTCTGAATTGTTATCAGAGCTGATTGTTTTGGCTGATGAGGTTGCTTCTTTTGCTAAGAACTCTGAAATTGAGGTGGATATTTTTGCTGAGTTTGCCTTGTTGGTAGAGAAATTTCCACCAATCTTCAATGATTTGAAGGACAAAAGCAGAATCTTGGACAAGCCACCTATTAGAAAATCTTTGGAATCTCTTGAAAATGAGCTAAGGCGTGCTAAAGCTTTGACAAGAAGCTCCAATTTGAGACAACCTATCAAGCAAATTGAGGACATAACACATGATATTGGTCGATCATTGGGCCTTCTACTTGTAGCCAGCCTTGAAGTGTCCATGGATTTTAAAGAAAAGATTGGCATATTGCAAAGACAGATGATGAATGTAAGATTTGATGGCAATTTGAGTCTAACCTCAAGTCCAAAATCAGAGTTTGTCAGCAGTAACCAGAAGGTCAATGCGGAAATAGAAGAGGAAATAATTAATGTCTCTATCGATGATGTTGTTTTGCAACTTAAGAATGGTAATGAAGAAGAATTTGCAGCTGCACTTTTGAGATTAAAGGAGTTCATGAGGAGTGAAAAACTCGATGGTGGTTTGATTAACGAGGAAGCAACTGTTTCCATTCTTTTCAATCGTCTAGGTTCATGTAAGGCAGACAATAGGGTGGCCATCATTCAATTGCTAAGAAGTATTGCTTTTGGAAATGATGAGAAAAAGGTAAAATCTGAAAATTAGGTGATATTTCTTGTAAATGTTGGTCTAAAATCATTGCACTTATAGTTGTTTTATCTTACTTTATAAAGTGGTAAACTGCAGGAGAATATGGCGAATATTGAGTTTTTATCAGCAGTGGTGAAGTCTTTGACAAGAGATTCAAAAGAGAGGAGGGAAGCTGTGGGGCTGTTGCTAGACCTCTCTGACCTTCCTGCAGTTCGACGGCAAATTGGAAGAATTCAAGGGTGCATTGTTATGTTAGTTGCTATTCTTAATGGGGATGACCCTGTTGCTTCACATGATGCAGCGAAGTTATTGGATATATTGTCTAGTAATACTCAAAACGCGCTTCATATGGCCGAGGCTGGCTACTTTAGACCACTAGTGCAGTATTTGAAGGAAGGTATTGCAGAACTTTCCTTAACTGATACATCTCTTTCCTTCTCTATGATTTATATGGACCATCAATCCATAATATTACAAGTGCTTTGAGGAATATTTATCACTGAATCAATTATTTATAAAATTCTTAGTGGAAGAGGCTAGATATTGGTTGAGTTTGTAGAAAGTAGAAACAGCGTAGTTAGCATTTGGTTTTAACTAAAGCTATCTACTAAACTTCTTGACATTAATGGGAGCATGTAAACATTTTTAGTGTATGTACAAGGTCTAGAGGAAGTTGGGCCATGATAGATGAAAATCACGATGTGTTTATTTGGGGTAATATAATTTACACTCAACTCTAGTTCAATCTTAATTTGATAGTCTTGGCTATGTTTCCCAGTTAAATTGACACTTACCAAACCCAATATTGTACTATTTTTGTGTTCATACATGGAGAATGTGGATTTGTTTTCTTTTATCTAAATGCTTTATGCAAGTGTAGAGAACACATTTATTTTGTATAACTCTAATAGATAGTGTTATAATTGTAACAAACGGCGAGGACCAAATTGAAAAAGATTCTAGGTATAAGGACTAAGTTGAACTCCTTTTTTGTACAAGGACCAAATTGAAAATGAGTATCATGTTTAGGACCAAAAACATATGTTAACCTTGTAGGATAATATTTAGATGGGTGACCAATCACTTTCATCTTTGTTTTATTAATTGTTATATGCATTGTTTCTAAATCAGACAATGATCAGAACTGAAGTAAATTTTTCTACATTCCCTTTACCTGAAAATTTCAAATTATGTTGTTGCAGGGTCTGACATGAACAAGGTCCTAATGGCGACTGCACTTTCTAGGTTGGAGCTCACTGATCACAGCAAACATGTCCTTGGAGAAGATGGGGCAATTGAGCCCCTTGTCAAAATGTTTAATACTGGGAAACTTGAGTCCAAGTTATCATCTCTAAATGCGCTACAAAATCTGTCTACCTTGACAGAAAATGTGCAACGTTTGATCCGATCCGGAATTGCAGGATCTCTTCTACAACTTCTTTTCTCAGTAACATCTGTGCTCATGACTCTGCGCGAGCCTGCATCAGCTATTCTTGCAAGAATTGCTCAGTCAGAATCAGTTCTTCTTGATCAAGATGTGGCTCAACAGATGCTTTCACTTTTGAATCTTTCCAGCCCTATAATTCAAGGCCATTTATTAGAAGCACTAAATAGCATAGCTGCCCATCCTGGCGCATCAAAAGTGAGAAGAAAAATGAAGGAAAAAGGTGCTCTTCAGCTACTCTTACCTTTTCTTAAGGAAAATAACACCAAAATCCGGAGTAAGGTCTTGCATTTGCTATACACTCTCTCTAAAGATCTAACAGATGAGTTAACTGAACATCTTGATGAAACTCATCTTGTGAATATTGTTAATATTGTCTCATTATCAACATCAGAGAGTGAAAAAGCTGCTGGTGTTGGCATACTGAGTAATCTTCCTGTTAGTGATAAAAAAGTGACAGATGTGTTGAAGAAGGCAAATTTACTTCCCATTTTGATATCCATTGTGTATTCTAGCACAGGAAGTAATTCACCCACATCAAATAGCTTGGCAGAGAGTGTTGCAGGTATTATAATCCGCTTCACAAATTCGTCTGACAAGAAACTACAACTTCTTTCAGCAGAACATGGGGTTATTCCTTTGCTTGTCAAACTACTCTCAAGTGGTTCACCAATCACGAAATCGAGAGCTGCTAACTCTTTGGCTCTACTATCACAGAATTCTATGTCTCTTAGGAAGTCTAGAAAGTCAAGTTGGTTGTGTGTTCTGCCCTCGGCCGATGCATATTGCGAAGTCCATGATGGCTATTGCTTTGTGAAGAGCACATTTTGTTTGGTCAAGGCAGGTGCAGTTTCACCACTTATCCAAATATTGGAAGATAAGGAGAGGGAAGCTGTTGAAGCTGCTCTCAGTGCCCTTTCAACTCTTTTGCAAGATGAAATATGGGAAGGTGGTGTCAGTTTCATTGCCAAATTTTCAGGTGTGCAAGCTATTATAAAAAGCCTAGAAGTTGAGAATGCAAAGGGTCAAGAGAAAGCACTATGGATGCTCGAGAGAATATTCAGGGTTGAAGAACATAGAGTAAAATATGGAGAATCTGCTCAGGTGGTTCTTATTGATCTGGCTCAGAAGAGTGATTCTAGATTGAAGTCAACAGTTGCAAAAGTATTAGCAGAGCTTGAGCTCTTGCAAGCTCAATCAAGTTACTTTTGAAAGAAGCCTTTCCTAATGATAAATATTATGGGAGTGGTTTTGTTTTGTGTTCCATTCATTTATATGTTTTTTGTGTACATGTTTTTGTATTTTACCTCATTTTGGATGAGCCACACTGTTCCATTCTGGTATATGTAATTTATTAGAATGGAAGATAGTAAAAAATGTTTGGTTATGGAGCTTTTATCTGGTATTATCAAGGATATGATTCATTCAGTTTCTTGAATAACTTCATTTATCTAAACCTTGTTTTGTTCTTGGTTTTATGTTCCCTGAATACAGTAATAATATTCATGCACCCCAAACAAATCCTGTTGTTCCTCATTTCTTTTGAGTAGGGCTCTGCACTAAAATAAACCCATTCAGAAGCTTTAGCAATAAGATAGCAGGAAGAGATTTTCTGACTGACTGTTATTGCAAACAATTTTAGACAGACATATTGAAGATGATCAAGTCTGGACTAATCCGTTATGTTTAATTATTTTTTCACCACTTTATTTTTAGAATGGAGTTTAAATATCTCAATATGTTTATTATAAATTCACTTACCCTTAATCTTTTTTATGAATTGTCTCCCCTGTGATTTTCTTCTGTCCAGGTTGATTTAAATAACATTAAAAAAAGTACCCCAATGGTTCTCTATAATAATTATCAAAACAACAAAATTCAATTTCTACAACTTCTACAATCAGGGTCATAACCACTCATTTACAGACTAATTATAAATTGATTCAAAATTCAAAACTTAAAATTCAAAATCTAAAATCCCAAAGATATAAAAAATTTCTAAAATAAATATAATGGTAATTAACTTCGAAAAATAAATAAATAATTATAATTAAATCATTTAAAACATGTCACAAATCTTATATCTTAAATCATGTTAAATGTTTTGTTTTTCTTTTCTTACCAAACAAATCACATTCATACTTGCTGCTTCATTTAGACTTGGATTTGATCGTAATTTGTTATATTTCAAATTAGTGTATCTTTTAACAATTAGACCATACTTATTAGACCACAATTGTGGTTGACTCCGAGTTTATTGAATCAATGGTTTGGCATGTCCAATGGGCCAACTGTAAGTGCATCATTTTTCCCCTATTAGAAAAAGATTCGTCATTGAATCTTCTTCATCTTCGCTCATATCAATCTTTTCAAGTAAAAACTCTATTGATAATTCTTCCTCTATTAGATCTTCATCATCATATTCTCCATCAGATTTATCATAGAGTAGATTATCATCATAAACTGAATTTTTATCATAAGATGAATAATTATCATAAATGGGATAATCATCATAACTTGGATAATCATCATAAACTATAAGTTGGATAATCATCATAAACTGCGTTATGATCATAGACATCAAAATCAGGAATATTGATTTGTATCTTGATATCTCAAAAAGTGGACTAATATCCAAGTCGTACTTCTCAATTATATTCTCGATTTAGAATCTCCAAGGGATTGACGTCCTCCTCTTCGTCATCGAATGCATCCTCTAATTACATTTTTTCTTCAGATTGAATGTCCAACTTTGTCCATGCAAGTCACCACTTCAAATCTTGGATTTTCATGCTCTTCCCCTCCACAAGTTGTCGCTCCAAAACTTGGATTTTCTCGCTATGTACCTGCAAGAGTTGTCGCTCCAAATCTTGGATTTTCTTGCTCTGCACCCGCACAAGTAATTGTTCTAAAACTTGAATTTTTTTGTCTAACGCCTACTCAAGTTGTCGCTTCAAATACTGGATCTGCCTTCCAAGCTCTTCATTTTCTATGTCTCGTGGGTCTGTCTAATGAGGTTGTCCTTTAGGAACGAATTCACATCCCTTGCCTTCATGACTCTGCCATCCACGACTTCCACGATTCTATTCAGTCATTCGTTAAAGGCAACCTAGTGCTCTAATACCATATGATGTCAAAAGCACATAGAAAAAATGGTCAAACAGAAAGTTATGATTTTATAAAAAAATATCCCTCAAGTTCTCAATTATAATTATGAAAATAAAAAAACTCAACTCCTACAATAAGGGTCAAAAATAACCTTTTACAGACTAATTACAAATTGATTCTAAATCTAAAATCATAAAAATAAGAAAAATTGCTAAAACAAAAAGTATAATGGTGATTAACTTCTAAAAATAAATAAATAATTACAATTAAATCATTTAAAATACGTCTTAAATCTTAGATCTCAATGTCAAATGTGTTGCCTTCCTTTTCTTGTCAAACAAATTACAATCATATCTGCTACTTCATTTAGATTTGAATTTGATCATAATTTATTATATTTTAAATTATTGCATCCTTTAACAAATAGGCCATACTTACTGAGTCACAATTCTGATTGATTCCGAATTTCTTGAATTAATGGTTGGAACATGTGCAATGGATCAACTATAAGTGAATCACTTCGATCATAGGGGGCACTTTTCTGTGCACTGTAAGTATTGAAGATTGGGATAACAAGTCAATTCACTTTTATGTGCACTTTTCTAGTGTTTGGTGACATTCATAGAGAAAAAGATAGAATAACAAGTCAAATTGATAAAATTATGGCTGCTAGAGTTGTAAATGATTCAACCAGACTGGAGCATAGGGAGAATCAGCTTCAACAGCACCTAGCTAGGGTACTTGAAGAAGAAGAACTCCTTTGGTTTCAAAAGTCTATGCAACAATGGATTGTAGATGGTAATAGAAACACAAAATTCTATTATCTCAATACAATTGTTCGAAGGAATCATAACAAAATTACTAGATTAAAAAATGATGCCAATATTTGGATTGAGGATCAAGAAGATTTGAAGGTTTTGACCTGTGAATTTTATAAGAGGATTTTCACAAAGGAAAATTTTAATAGGAGATGGTTGTCTTCACAATATCTCTGGTCTGTTTTAAATACAGAGGAATTGAGAATGCTTGCTAAGACCCCCAGTCAGGATGAGATTAAAAGAAATCTGTTTGACATGGGCCATCATAAAGCTCTCGGTGTTGATGGGTTCCCAGCTTTTTTCTTTCAAGAAAATTGGGATAGAATGAAGGATCAAATTTCTAAGCATATAACCGTTTTGTGGGATAATCCGGATCTGTTAGCTACTATAAATTCCACCTTATTGGTCCTTGTTGGGTGGTCTGCTGATGGTGGAAAAAGATAAGTTCTAATGGGGGACGTTCCTCTGTTCTAAACAGAACACAGATTCGCTCCCTTACTTCCAACCCAAGTGCGCAAGTGCACGCATCAAGTAATAAAGGGTGTATTAAGGCCCAGATTATGGTTCCCACGAGGATAGAACTCTAGATATTGTCTTATACTATTTTATAAAGAATGAAAATGAAAAGAAAAGTTAGTGAATGAACTGTCTGGTCAAACGTTCCTTACTGTCTTGACAACGTTCCTCAGGAACAGTAAGTTCAATCTGATGACAAACAATTGCTCACTGCGTTATGTATGTGATCCTTCCTGATTAGAAGAAGGTGAGATAATATTCATTGGAGTTTGATAGATAGCAGCTTAAAATAAAGTATAAATATTTAAACAGAAATAACTATAATTAAGAGACAACAAGTGGATGGTTTTAAAACAGTTTAACAGAAAGAACAGATTCACTGCTCCATTCTTAAATAGTTATTTTCTCTACTCAAGACCTAGCACTTTTTGGCTTTGTCCCAGTTTCTTATCTGCCAACTCTGATTCCTCAGCTCATAGACTAGATGGCTCACAAGTTTCCATATTCCTATGGCTCCCTTGACTCCAACAGGTACTTAGTATAGAACCTTAAAATGGATGAGTTGGCCCCTTATTCCTAAGGTGACCAGTAGTGTTTTTGTCATGACACTACCTTCCCCCAATGGCTAAGCTGTCTGAAATCTCTTCCTTATGGAAGTTCCTTTCTCAGTATGTGTTCAATTTCCATTGATACACAATGAATATAGCTTACTTAGCCAAAGAAATACAAAAAGCTTCAGTCAAGAGTTTTGAAAATAGTTCTTTAAGAGTTTTGCAGTTTATCCGTTCCACAGATAGTTCAGCCCATGGCTGATATTTGAAACAATTATTCCAATCTGAAATCTCATGGACCCGAGATTCAGCTTAGAGATAACGAATGGAACGAAAAGAAGAAACACTTATATTAAATTAAAAGACAATTTACACAAAAACAAAAAATGGAGAAGGACGGTTTGATGCTCGTGAGGAGTCTTAAGGGTTAATACAGAGAAGAGAAGAGGGGTTGTCACTTAGTTACAGTTACAACTTAAATAAAACTAAGCTACTACTACTACTAGGTGATCTTCTTCCTTTAGGACTTCAATCCCTCCAGAATTTGATGATGTTTTTGTGTGTGGGACGTCCTATTTATAGGGAGAAGAGGAGTGGCAGTCTTGTAATTCCTTTGGAGCTGGGTTCTTGCGTGAAGGGACGTGGTGGTGGCAATAGAGTGTAGAAGATGTGCAAATTGCTGGATGGGACAATGTTTGTTGATGATTTCCGTTCTTTGCAGTTCTTCCCATGCCTTGCTTTCTTCTTTGGCCAATGAGAACTCTTGATTCTCTGCTCTTCATGTTTCCTGGTGCTTAGTTGGTGCACCGCCTCTGCTTTTCGAAGACTTTGTATCCACGTTTCCTGCAAAATGTACAGAGGCATTAAATGAGTGGAGCAGGTGCATTAAATGCTTCTCAATCCGTTCCCCTTTTAATATATTTTAAGGAATACGTCACCATACGTTCCCCCACTGTGTTTTTGTCACAAATGTGTAAAACAAGTGATTTTCATGCTGAAGTTGTGCATCAAATGAGGGAACGTGCGGTATTTTGCCATCAAAATGGGCCTAGATGGGAACGAATTTACGTCCCATCAGTCCTCATCCCTAAAGTACAGAATCCGATCAATATGTCTCAATTTAGACCTATATCTCTTTGTCCAGTTGTTTATAAATTGTTGAGTAAGATTATGGTGCAGAGGCTAAAAGGTATTATAACGAAAATTATCTCCCCAGTGCAATCCAGTTTTGTTCCTAGAAGACATATACAAGATAATATTGTTATATTGCAGGAGCTAATTCATCCAATGCATAAAATGAGAGGTAAGAAAGCTTTCATGACAATTAAAATTGATCTGGATAAAGCTTATGATAGATTAAGTTGGAAATTCATAAGGAAAATAATGATTGAGTTAAATTTTCAGGAGAAAATGATTCATATCATTACGACTGCAATTTTTTCAACAAAGTTCAATATTCTCTGGAATGGTGTGAAGTCGGAAGAGTTTCAACCTTCCCGCGGAGTTCGTCAAGGAGATCCGTTATCACCTTATTTATTTGTGCCAGGAATGGAAAAGTTCAGTCATATAGTCAACACTGCTGTTGATGGGGGTCTGTGGAAACCGATTCAAATTGGGAGTGGGGGTCCTTCAGTCTCTCATTTGATGTTTGCAGATGATTTAATGATTTTTGCGAAAGCTAATCTTCAACAAATTGAAACAATCATGAAATGTTTTAAGCTGTTTGAAGAAATTTCTGGCCAAAAAGTAAGTTATCAAAAGACTAGTATTTTTTTCTCTAAAAATACTCCAGAAAATACTACAGAGGAGATTACTAATGCTTGCGGCTTCAAAAGATTCAGAAATGTAGGGATGCATCTGGGGTTTGGATGAACCATTGACAGAGTTTCAAAAGAGGCATACAAGAACATAGTGGAAAAGGTGCAAGATAAATTAAATGGGTGGCAATCGAGGTGTCTATCACAAGCTGGCAGAATAACTCTTACTTAATTTGTTCTTTCCACTATTCCTTATTATCAAATGCAGTGTGATAAATTACCTTTATCAATTTGTCATGAGCTTGAAAAAATGCAGAGAAGATTTATATGGGGAGATAAAGACAATAAAAAGAAACTCATTTGATTGGATGGAATACTCTAGTAAAATCAAAAGCTGCTGGTGGGTTGGGGTTAAAGTTCCTATCTAAGATGAATGATGACTTTGTAGGAAAGCTTGCCTGGGCTGTCTCTTCCCAACCGGACCTTCTTTGGGTCCAGGTTCTTCGTGCAAAGTATGGTAAGCATCATAATGGGGTGGATTTTTTCATAGCTCTGGTTCTGATTCTAGACTTTGGAAACACATCTGTATGGTATGGAAAAATTTAGAAAATCATCTCACTTGGGAAATTGGAGATGGGAACAGTATTGTTTTTTGGAAAGATATATGGATGAAAGACATAGGAAGACTTATGGATGTAACGATTGTTCCAATTCCATGGGAAGAGATAGGAAAAAATTTAGCTTAATATGTGAATAATCAAGGCAAGTGGGATATGGAATCTCTTTCTAGATGGTTTCCACCAAATATTCTGTTGAAAATTAAAAGTTTGCTCCCACCTAATTCTCTTGATGGACCAGATCAGAGGCACTGGTGGTTAGGAGATGGAGTTGGGATCTCAGTCAAAGGAATTTATGAGACTCTCATGAAAGATAATGACTCTATACAAGTTAATTCAACTTGGTGGAAAAACATTTGGAGGTGGGAGGGGCCTCAAGTCATCAAATTGTTCCTCTGGAAAGTGTCCCACAACAAACTTCCAACTAGAGAAAGATTGTGCAAATTCAATTTGGGGACTTCAACTTGCCCTGTTTGTTTGGAGGAAACAGAGAGCATCATTCATCTATTAAGAGATTGCAATAAGATCCGGAGCCTATGGACAGAATTGGTTCCAACCAATATCTATAACTCTTTTTTCGCTCACAATTTGTTGATTTGGTTGCAGGGTAATATGCTGAGTTCTGAAAAGTTTAATGGTATCATTTCGTGGGATACCATATTTGCAACTACTTGTTGGATGGCTTGGATTGGAGTAATGAAAAGGTTTTTGGTGGAACTATTAGATATAGTATCTTACTGTATTGTACCTTTATCCAATGTATCTGCATGTAGCTGATAAATTCCTTTTAGTCAGTTACAATTCTGTTTTGGCTTACTGTATATATATCAGGATGCCTTGTATCACATACAACAACCATAATATACATTCTCAGATATTCACTTTTCTCTCTCTCTCTCTCTCTCTCTTCCTCTCCCATCTATGGCTTCTACACAGTATTCAAATATGGTATCAGAGCCCTCATCCTGAGGGCCTGATCCATTTTTCGAGCTACACTATGACTTCCGCTTCAGCATCTGATACTGTCATTCCGTCAAACAACAACGAATCAACTACATCAAGTTCACATAGAGATTCAACTTCAATGGAGAATCGCGCACCTCTTCTCTTCAATCACCAAATCACCGTCAAACTCACAGAAGACAATTATCTGTTCTGGAACCAGATAATTGAACCGATTATTACATCTCACTAGTTGCATCGTCATCTAGTAAATCCAAAAATTCCTGTTTAGTACAAGACCGTGGAAGATCGCGAAAATGAAATTCAGAATCCAGAGTATGTTCAGTGGATTACACAGGACTCGATGCTTCTATTGTGGCTTTTGTCTACTATCTCAGAGTCAGTTGTAAATGAAATTCTTGGAGTCAAGTATGCTCATGAAGCTTGGGATAAAATTCACAAGCTCTTCCATGGCGTGATGAAATCCAGATCTCGTCACCTACGTTCTGAGCTCAGATCTATCAAGAAAGGTAACAGATCTGCTAAAGAATACTTAACTCGAATTAAAACCTTGTGTGATTCGCTCAAAGCCATAGGCAATCCAGTCACAAATGAGGATCGAACTGATTATATACTGGAAGGACTTCCAGTTGATTACAATGCGTTTGTTACCACTGTTCATGGACGGGAAAATCCATATTCTATTGAGGATCTAGCTATTGAGCTAATGACGCATGAACAAATGCTTCTGAAACAGAATGAAGCTCTTCTTGAATCAATCAATGTGAATATGGCTCAGAAACAGAGCAACACTTCTGTTTTCGAGAACCAGAAACAAAGCACTGGTCAATTTACGCAACAGTCAGGATTTGATGATTTTTCTCGTTCCAATGGTTCAGGTAGAGGCTAAGGACGTTTAATGGAAGGTTTAACAGAGGTAGAGGGCATGGTGCCAGATTGCAAGTTTATTGCCAACTATGTCACAAGTACGGTCATGATGTGAAGACCTGTTGGCATCGTTTTGATGCAGACTTCGTACCCAACCTTCCACCTCCTGAAGCTTCATCAAATGGTCAGTTCTTTCCTCAGAGACAGCAACTGCATCAGCAACGTTCCTATCAGTATGTTAGGCCTATCTCTACTGCACCACAGGCCATGATAGCAGCTCAACCTGGCTTATTGCCAACTTCTCCTATTCCTCCTGCTCTTGAGTGGTTCCCTGACTCAGGTGCCTCCCATCATGTCACTGGAAATTCAATGAACTTACTCCAGAGCCAGCAGCTAAGTGGCTCTGATCAAGTCATCATTGGCAATGGGCAAGGTTTGGCAATTAAAGCAATTGGCTCTTCAAATTTTGTGTCTCCTTATGACTCTAATAAACATTTGCATCTTAAAAATCTTCTATTGGTTCCTTCCATAATGGAAAACCTCATGAGTGTTAGTCAATTTGCTAGAGACAATTGTGTCTACTTTGAGTTTCATCCAAATGTTTGTTTTGTTAAATCTTAGGAGTCTCATTAGATTCTGCTTCAAGGAGCTCATGGCAGTGATGGTCTGTATCGCTTCTTAGACATCACGCTTCTTCAGCAGTCTGCCCCTTCAGCTTTGTCATCACCTGTTTCAAGTCAAAACACTATCAGTTCTATTGTTTTTCCTCTCTGTAATAGTATACAAAGTAGCAATAATACTATTGATTAGAATGTTGTTGATCAACCTTGTAATTCTGTTGATTCTTGTATTCCTACTCAGTCTACATATTTTCTCTGGCATTGTCGCTTAGGACATCCCAATCATGCCACAATGACAAATGTACTTCACTCTTGTAATATACCCACTTCAAATAAAAATGTCAGTGATTTTTGTTCCTCTTGCTGTAATGGTAAGGCACATAGACTTCCTTCATCCACTTCATTAACTGAATATGATAAACCTTTTGAATTAATCTACTGTGATCTTTGGGGACCTGCACCCTTTAAGTCCACCTTGGGATACTCCTATTACATTTCCTTTGTTGATGCCCATACTCGTTACACTTGGATATATCTTTTAAAACAAAAATCTGATGCCCTCATTATTTTTAAACAGTTTCATTCCCTGATATCTACACAGTTTCAGCTTCCTATTAAAGCTTTGCAGACAGATTGGGGTGGGGAATTCCGTTCATTTACTGATTACCTCAAACTTCATGGCATTAACCATAGACTTGCTTGTCCTCACACCCATCATCAAAATGGGGTTGTTGAGCGCAAACATCGTCACATTGTTGAGTTGGGACTCACTCTTCTATCTCATGCATCTTTGCCATTAAAATTTTGGGACTATGCATTCCTCTCAGTTGTGTATCTAATTAATAGACTCCCTACTGCCTCTCTCAATTTTGGTGTCCCTTTCACCAAACTGTTTACACAGAATCCTGACTATCAATTTCTCAAGATTTTTGGGTGTGCTTGTTTTCCTTTTTTGAGACCCTATAATAGATACAGACTTGAGTTTCGCTCTCAAGAATGCCTATTCCTTGGCTATTCCACCAGCCACAAAGGTTATGTCTTCTTGAATAAAGAAGGCAGAATTTACATCTCCAAAGATGTTTTATTCAATGAATATCGTTTTCCTTACTCATCCTGGATACCCACTGAGCCTGCCTCTCCACCTATCAGTTCTGTTTCTGCCCATATCCCAATTTTTCCCACCTTTCCTCATGCAAGAGAACTTCTTTTATTCTCTCCACCTCATCCTTCCCAATCTGACACTTCATATAATCCTCCCTTAGAGTCTATTCCCCATTCGGTGCAGTCCTCTCCTGCCACATCAGTGCAGTCTTCTTTTTCTTCTGATCATAATTCAGAATCTTTATCTCTCATTTCCTCCTCCTCTACCACCTCTTCACCTACTTCCTCTTCTTCTGCTTCTGAATATGTGCCATCCAATACAGCTAGGGATGTGTCACCACCTAGATCAATTATTACCAGATCAAAGTCTCGAGCCATGTCTATTGCTTTACTTGCTCACTTTGAACCAACTACTGTGAAACAAGCTTTATCCAGCCCACCTTGGCTGGAAGCCATGAAACTTGAGTACAATGCTTTAATGTCTAACAACACTTGGAACCTGGTTGCTCTGCCCACACACAGAAAGGCTGTTGGATGTAAATGGGTTTTTAAAGTCAAGGAGAATCCGGATGGAACTATTAATAAATACAAGGCAAGGCTTGTGGCAAAGGGTTTTCATCAACAACAAGTGTTTGATTACAATGAAACCTTCTCTCCTGTGGTTAAACCAGTCACTGTGCGAATCATGCTCACCTTAGCTTTCACTCATTCCTGGTCTATTAGACAATTGGATATCAATAATGCCTTTTAAAATGGTGATTTACAAGAAGTTGTGTACATGAGTCAGCCTCCAGGTTTTGAAAATAAAGACAAGAGTTTGGTTTGCAAGCTTAACAAGGCTCTATATGGTCTAAAACAATCACCAAGGGCCTGATTTGACAAGCTGAAAAATGCTCTAATGGTGTTGGGGTTTAAATCCAGTTGCAGCGACCCATCCTTATTCATCTCCAAGACTTCATCTCACTGTACATATATTTTGGTGTATGTAGATGATATTATAGTGACTGGAACCAACTCTTCCTATATACAGCAGCTCATCACTCAATTACATTCTCAGTTTGCACTTAAAGACCTTGGCACTCTTGACTATTTTCTTGGTATAGAGGTGAAACCTTATTCTTCGGGTGGCTTAATATTGTCTCAAGCTAAATACATCCTTGAATTACTTACTAGAGCTGATATGCATGAAGCAAAAGGAATCTCATCTCCCATGCCTTCCAGCTGCAAGCTGTCCAGATTTGGGTCCAATTACTTTTCTGATCCTCATCTTTACAGATCAGTTGTGGGAGCTCTTCAATATGCAACAATAACTCGCCCTGAAATCAGTTATACTGTCAACAAGGTTTGCCGATTTATGGGTCAACCTTTGGATGATCACTGGAAGATAGTGAAGAGAATTTTAAGATATCTCAAGGGTACCATCACCTTTGGCCTTGTTCTTCACCGTGCAGATGTTCAGCACCCATTCTCTCTCACTGCTTTCTGTGACTCGGATTGGGCCAATGACCCTGATGATAGACGGTCCACATCAAGAGCTGTTGTCTTCTTTGGTCCTAATCTTGTTTCTTGGTGGTCTAAGAAACAAACATTGGTAGCAAGGTCCACCACAGAGGCAGAGTACCGTAGTCTCGCTCTCACTTGTGCTGAATTGCTTTGGATCCAGTCACTCCTTAGGGAATTGCAAGTTCCTTTTGCTACTCCTCATGTGTTCTGTGATAATTTAAGCACTGTCTCTTTATCTCACAACCCTGTTCTACATGCTAGAACAAAACATATGGAGCTGGATATATTTTTTGTTAGGGAAAAAGTCCTTGCTGGTGTTCTTACTGTGTCCCACATTCCTGCTTCTGCCCAGATTGCAGATACTCTCACCAAAGCTCTATCTCCTGCCCGTTTTGCAGAATTGAGAACCAAACTCAGTGTTCTTGATTACATGCCTCAAGATCCCTGAGTTTGCGGGGGTGTATTAGATATAGTATCTTACTGTATTGTACCTTTATCCAATGTATCTGCATGTAGCTGATAAATTCCTTTTAGTCAGTTACAATTCTGTTTTGGCTTACTGTATATATATCAGGATGCCTTGTATCACATACAACAACCATAATATACATTCTCAGATATTCACTTCTCTCTCTCTCTCTCTCTCTCTCTCTCTCTCCCTCCCTCCCCCATCTATGGCTTCTACACAGTATTCGAATAGGAACAAATTTTCATCATCATTACAAGCAATACTTACTGAGTCACAATTCTGATTGATTCCGAATTAATTGATCGATCATTTCAATATACTATTTTTTTAATATATTAGTATATTGAATTTTTTTCTAAAATTACTCATTTATGTAAATAAGTTATTTGATAAATAAAATTAATATTTTATCAATACATTATTTATAGATTGATATATTAATATATAAATACATATTTATTTTTATTTTTAAATATATTGAAAAATAAGTATTTATTATTTTTTTACAAATTATCTTTTATTTTTTAAATAATATTTGTGTATATATGACTTTTTTTATTAATATAGGAATTTGCTATTATATACTTTTTATAATATTTTAATTAGAATTGAAATTTATATAAACTTTCAACCAAATTTTTTTTAGAGTAAACACCATTTTTAGTCCCTGTCAATATCTACGAAGTCCTTTTTAGGCCCTGACAATAAAAAAGGACCAAATTGGTCTCTGAAATTACAAAAAAGGGGCCATGTTAGTCCTTATGTCAACTCCCAAATATGTAGAGTGACCCTTTTCTTGTACTTTCAGGGACCAATTTGGTCCTTTTTTATTGCTAGGGACTGAAAAGGACTTCGTAGATATTGCCAGAGACTAAAAATGGTGTCTACTCTCTTTTTTATATATAAACGACTTATTTATAACATGTATTAAAATTATTTTTTATTTAAAATACTATATAATATCGAAAGGGTTTCAAGTTTCAACCTTATTTTAATTTTTTCTTCTTCTAAAACTAGTTGTGATGTGTGTTAATTTTTGTGCTTTTTTTTTGTAATTCAATAAAGCATCAGTATATTGTCTCGCTCACATACTTTTTATTTTTATTTTTTTTTCTTCTAAATTTTGAATTAAAATAAAAAAAGAATGAAAATTGGTTCAGTGGCCTGAAAGAGCCTAAAACGCACCCCTTTGTTCTTTTCTTTCTCTTCCCCGCCGCCACACACTCTTTTCCCCCGCGACTCCGCCGCAACTCACGCACACGTCGCCGGCCACTAACCCACAACTTTGGGTTTGCCTCTCTCAATTCATCTCTTCCAATTTTTTTCCCTTCTTTTTTTACGATATAAAAGAAAAAAAAAGCTCAGTGTATGCTATTGTTATTTCCGGTTGGTCACTCTGATGCATAGTCTATGTGCTTTTATGGCTCACTTATTAGGGTTTGGTTCCTTCTTTGGTTTATTTTCATTTTGTGCAGTTTTATTCACATATTGGGCTGTTGCCTTTTTAAAAAAAAAAAAAAAAAAAAAAAAAAAAAAAAAACAACTTTCTATGATTTTAAAAGGAGGGTTAGTTTATATTGGGTCTTTGTTTTTAGATTGAGTTCTGAGTAAGTTGATGTGTCTTTTCTAGTACCAATGTTTGTGTGTGTGTTCTTCACATTTACCTATGTTACATGATTAAACAGGGCAAGGTCAAGCAATCTTTGCAGTTTCGTTTTTTCTGTGACTTTGGGTTGTGTTTGGTGGTGGTCAAAATGCTGCGTAGAAATATTCGTTTGAGAAGAGAATATTTGTACAGAAAAAGCTTAGAAGGCAAAGAACGCTTGCTCTATGAGAAGAAGCGCAAGATTAGAGAAGCTCTTCAAGGTTCCTCCTTTTCCTCTTCTTTCGTCTAATTTTAATATATCTGCAAATGGGTTTTTGTTATTTTTTTATGGGTTTCTTTTAATGATTATGTTTTTTGTATTTCGCAGAAGGGAAGCCCATACCCACTGAACTCAGAAACGAGGAGGCGGCACTTCGCAGGGAAATCGATCTAGAGGATGAAAACACAGCTGGTATCATGCTTCATGCTTCTTCCTTTCTTTGTTTTTAGTGAGTTTTGTAATGACTGTTTGGTTGCTGAGGGAATGGAACTTGATTGAGTATGATTAAGTTGTTTTAAAATATTAATGTGTGGTGAGTTTTACTTTTTTTTATGATTGTTAATGACAATGCTGTTTTTTATTCTGCTTGGTCTTGGTTTCTTGGGGGAAGGAGTACTTTAGGATCCTTTTTGAAAGGTGATATTTCATTCAGAAAGTTATTTACTATGCAAACTGAATGCTTTAGGTAGTCAAAGTCCTTACAGATGTTACACAATGAACTAATTGATAGAGACCTTGAACATGGGGAGCTATATACAGAATAATATTTTAGTATCAAATAAAATGACTTCCTTTGAATTTTATGTGGGGAAAATCCATTACTTTTATTAATTTTTGAAATTCAATTCTACATATACTTTTTAACATAAAAAATCTTTGGAATTCCTAAGGACTTGCAGCCTTTGAAATTTTGATTTTTATTACACCTTTCTCTTCTGTATACCTTTTGTGTATCACATTCTCTCTCGCTTAATTGTATCTTTCAATGTGGGTTTGATGTGGTTTGTGAAATGAGATTTTTTCTACCTTGTGCTCTGCTGATTTCAGTCCCAAGAACACACATTGATGATGAATATGCCCATGCTGCGGAAAAAGATCCTAAAATTTTGTTAACCACATCAAGGGATCCAAGTGCTCCTCTTCAACAGTTTGTAAAGGTTTGCTCGCTTTCATTTTCCTTGTGATTGTTTGAAATATTTTATTTGGTACTTTACCAAGTGCCTATGACTTATTGTTTGTCATAATCTTCGATTCTTTGTGTAGGAGTTGAGTATTGTCTTTCCAAATGCACAAAGAATGAATCGTGGTGGTCAGGTTGGTACCTTTCTGTTTTACCATCCATTGTCTCATCTTCTGAGTGTCTTTGTAAAATGAAGATTTGATCATTTGATGGTTTGTTGATTTATATTTTTTAGATACGAAAATATATTTGTAATTAGATAGAATACCGTAACACAAAATAAAAGAATGACTAGGGGAGGATAAGAAATCCTTCTAAAACAGAATAAAATGGATATCCGAAACCATCCTTAGAATGAATAAAACTGTCTAATTTCTCTGCATGTCAAAAATGGAAGTTCTCTTGAAACAACAACGAGCGGAGCACCAAAGAGATGTTGTAAAGACAATTCTATATGATAGCATATGCAAGGCCCCTTGTTCTTGCAGGCATGCTGCTCGAATGGTCCAAATGTTATTACTCATGCAACAAAGATCCTCTTAAAATGAACATTAGACAGGTATTTGACGTCCGTATTCCTGCAAAAGCCTTTACCCATTGTGTGAAAATACTGGTGAAATAACAATTCTAGTGCTCACCAACTCCAAGAACTTTAAAGTACTTATTCCATAAGAAAGTAGGTACCCAACAATTTAAAAATAAATGGGATGCCGTTTCCAAACTAAACCTGCACATAACACATCAGAATAGAGAGCTATGTGAGGTCTGCAAATCTGCAAATATCACCTTTTCCAATTCTACTGCTATCCAAACACAAGAGTTGACCTTGGAGGGAGTTTTTAATTTCCAAATTCTAAATGGTCTTGAAGGAACTTCTCTCTATTAGGAGAATGAGTAAGAAACTGAAAATAGGAGTTGCTAGAAGAAAACACCAAAAGAATTGAGTGTGCAAATTCTCACTGGGTCTAAGAAAATATAGTAAGAATCTCAATCGAGGAAGATCGAAGAGATTCTTATTTGTGTGATGTTCCTTTTCATTTCAGGTCATCTCAGAGATTATAGAGTCCTGCCGTGCACATGACTATACTGATGTTGTCTTGGTTCATGAACATCGTGGTGTGCCAGATGGTTTAATTGTTTGCCATCTACCCTTTGGTCCAACTGCATATTTTGGATTACACAACGTGGTAAGTTTTAGTCTTAGAGTATTCCCTATGGATTTTAGGCGACAATATGCTAATTTATTGTTTTTTGTAGGTTACAAGGCATGAAATTAAAGACAAGAAAACCATTGGAACCATGCCTGAGGCTTATCCACACCTGATTCTTGATAATTTCTCAACTAAGGTATTCATAACTCAATACGAGCTTTGTTATCTTCATACATACTAAATTTCACTGGTAAATGATCCGTTGCCTTCATAACTGGACCTTCTGATAACTACTGATCCTGCAGTATCATCGGTTCATATCTTATTGAAAATGGAAGGGTTCAAAGTGTTTTTAAAGTATTCAAAACAGGTTATCTGGATGTAAAATTAACTGATATAGGTTGACATTTGACTAAAACATTTGGCAAAACTTAAACAAAAGGATTATGCTAAATGGATATTCAAGTTCAATGTTGACATGTAATTCTGTGTTTTTAAATCCGGAGTAGTTAATCAGGAACCAGTCCTCTAGCTGGTCCGGCCTGGCTCTTGAAACCTGGATGATTTGAACCAGTTTTAGAATTGGAGAACTGGTTACAAACAGGTCAAGTGCACAGATCAGTTGTGGTTGTTTAACAAGTTAAACAGGCTCAAATTACTTATTTCCCTCTGAAGTTCTCACTAGAGCATAAGTTGTTTTGCAGAGATAATGTGTGGACATACAAGAATATATAAGATCTGAAAATAATGTATTAGCGAGAAAGTAGGAACAAAATTTATTTAGGAAAAGATGGTAGAATCGTGCCTATGATGGTTTGGCCATGTGAGAAGGAGAACAATACAAGTACTAATAAAGTGAGTTAATTTGATGGAGGATAGCCCTGTGGAGGAAGACCTAGAAAAACTATAAGTGAAACCATTAAAAAGGACATAGATATCAATGGCCACTTCAAAGACTTGGTTTTTGACAGAACACAATGACGTTGTTTGATCCATGTAGCCGACCCCATCCAGTGAGAAAATGCTTTGTTGTTATTGTAATGTTCAAATTGTTGGGAGCAGGATTTAAACATGGATATAAGCTGAGAGGGTGTTCTGTCAACCACTTTGTAGTCACGGGTCTTTGAAATAAGAAATGCTAGAACTCAGGACAATTTGGAAAATGAAAAGGAGCTCTATGATATAACTGGATCAGAAATAGGTAGATCAATGAATCTTTATTGTAGAAAACCACTCTTGATCAGTATCAATGTGGTACAAAACCAAAGATCCAATATGATACGATGGGGACTCTCTCGCTCTCCCTTCTAATTTTCTTCTCACAACTCTCAACGAACTTAAGTTAACTACCCCTATCCCCTTTTATTACTGAATCCAAGTAGTTATTCTATTATTAACAGTTGAGTCCTATTCCCTCTACTAACCCTCTTGTTCTTTCTAACCTAGAGCCTTTTAATTGGGGGGCTTGCCAACACTATCATTGGGCTATTGATGGTTTTTGATCGATAAAGTTAAATATAATAATATATTGCATGTGTTTTCTAGAAAATAAAAGTTCAAGAGTCAACCAAGAATCTGTTTATATTGAAAGCATTGGTAATTCATGATATTAATATAGGATCAGAATCTATCTACATTGATCAATATATTTATTTATGCTTGTGTCTTGGGTGCTTACTGCTCATCTTATTTGGAATTTCTTTTGGAATTTAAACAGTTAGGTGAAAGGACTGCCAACATTCTAAAGCATCTTTTTCCAGTGCCAAAACCAGACACCAAACGTATTGTGACTTTTTCCAACCAGTCTGACTATGTCTCATTCAGGTTGGTCCATCGGACCGGTTCTGTGCAATCGGCCTTCTTTACAATTACTTGTTCAAGTTCTCTTAACCTTTGCTGGTTAGCGTTTGTTTCCTTCTCGTTTGAAACTTAGTGTCAATTACATGCAGGCATCATATTTATGAAAAACATGGGGGTCCTAAATCTATAGAACTGAAGGAAATTGGTCCACGGTTTGAGTTGCGACTTTATCAGGTTTGCATTACACTTAAGCTCATTATCGATTGCTTTTGTTCTTATTGTTGCCATGAAGAAAGATGATCTTCTAGTTGGAAGGAAATAACTACTTGCTACTAAAATCAAGAAAAACTCTACAATTTCCTTCTACATGAACATGAGGGCATTGTTGCAACTAAGATTTCAAGATTTTGTTTAAAACGGTGTAGTTTAGTGATTGTGTTTGGCATAGGTTATATGATGTTTCTACCCTGTTCCCTTCATTATCAGCGTTGCTCATAAATTTTGATTTGATTTCGTTTTTATTTATTTTTCATTTAAATGTCATAGTTTTGTAACTTGCACCAAATTTTGTTTTTGAATACCGAACCTATTTTATTGTACCGCAACTTGATTGTTAAACGACTACAATTATTTAGTTCCTCATTTATTTTTAAACTTGTTGCAGATAAAGTTGGGAACGGTGGATCAAGCTGAAGCTCAAACAGAATGGGTCATTAGACCTTACATGAACACATCTAGGAAGCGAAAGTTTCTCAGCAATTGATGCAGGCGTAATAATAATTATGTTATGAAAGTGTTTATGCTGCTAAACCATTTTATTATACACTTTGAGCTCGCATTTCTCACTATGATGGTACTTTAGGTATGTGATTAGTTGTTTAGGAGGATAAAGAGAAGCTAAAATTTTTGTAATGAAAATTATTTCACACTTTGGCACAACAAAAATGAGCAAATGAAAAATGAAATATACTTGCTTATTTTTAGATGGAAATTGTTTTTGAGAATTCAATTTTGATGCATTGTTATTGTAAAAATGTTTATTATTTGTATTCAATTATGTGTTGTTATGTCATTTCATGAGTTTAACATTTCATGTTTTTAACATAATCAAACTATTAAATAAGGTGATAATACAAGATTAAATGACAATATGTAAAGGGTTTTACACTATTAGTTTTGATGTTGGTGCAAAATCGGCTCAGTAATTTTCGTTTTAAGTGCCCTCGTACTCTGTATTCAAGATTACTTATAAACACTTCTCGTGATGCAAACGTTGCTTATTCAGCTTTATTCCTCATTAACCGGAAAAATGTATACATTAATACATTTTTATACACACAAATCGAAGCTTTTCTATATTAACATAAAATGAAGCCATTAAAAACCATTGACATATAAACCAAGAAAAAAAAAACCTTCAACTATTTCACATGCTATATTTGTAAAACTATAAGCATCTTTTGCTTGTCATTTGAATTAGATAAATACCATGTACACTGCACAGGTTCTTCACCAAAGACAGAAGAAAAAAGAGTTTTAGGAGGCTGCTCTACAAGAAGAAAAAAGATATCAGAGAAACCGATACTCACCAAACATGTTTTTCGTTTGGCCAAAAATCAATTTTTAAGCTGTATTCAATCCCCGTAGCACCTTTAACACAAATAGTATTCTATCTGGCCTCCAACAAGGATATAGAAACTTCATTTTGTGAACAATTTCCACAACTTCTTGAAGAAGATTCTACCTGAATTGGTTGATGACCTGTTCCTGTGTAGAAACCAGGTTGGCTTGGCTCAGGCAACAACTTTTCACCATTCAACATTAAAACCACAGATGACATGTTGGGTCTATTTTCTGGTATTTGTTGTACACAAAGTAGACCCACATGAATACATCGCATTATTTCAGGTGGAGTGGCTGAATCATCCAATGTGTTATCCATTAGCTCCAGTGGCTTTTCTTCAATCCATAATCTCCATGCCTGAAATAATGAGACAAAAAACCAACAAGTGAGGTCAATGCCTACTCATGTTTTTGGTGTTTTCATTCAACAAAATCGACAACACATTTATCCCAAACTGGTTGACGTCGGTGGTTTTTTTATGTTTTCATTGTTACATAAATTTTAAAAGTTTTGAAGAGACACCTTAATGCTAGGTCTTCTGCTAAAGATTTTTCATGTCTTGATTTTCAATTATGGTCTCTTCTTGGAGGCTGAAGAACTATTTTCAACTTACTTTCATACTAAAGGAGTGGTCAACACTCTTCAGCTTGAATGTAAATGAGTTAAAATTTACTTTCAACCAATTAACCTTTTTGTTATATGAAGCAAGTATAACTCAATTGTCACACTAAATTTCTAGATTTTCATTGCTACCTATTCAAATAATAGCATCCTAAATGTTTTATTAGGATTCAACAGTTTATATTCAATGATTGCAGCTAGAAACTATTCATCAAGATAAAGAAACAAATAAAAATTAAAGCTTACATGACCAAGAAGATTAAGATGATGCTGAGAGTCATAAAAATTCCGATTCTTTCTCCCACTAATTATCTCTAGTAAAATTACTCCAAAGCTAAATACATCAGATTTGAATGAAAAAGATCCATGCACTGCATATTCAGGAGGCATATAACCACTGCAGCACAACCATGAAATCAGAAAATGTATGTTAGGAGGGAATGCAACATAGTAAAACTATGCAATTCAAGAAGTACTTACTATGTTCCCATCACTCTATTTGTATTGGCCTGAGCTTGATCTCCTCTAAATATTCTAGCCAGACCAAAATCTGATATCTTTGGGTTCATATTGTTATCAAGAAGAATATTACTTGTTTTGAGGTCTCTGTGGATGATTCTTAATCTGGAGTCTTGATGAAGATAGAGTAGCCCTCTTGCGATCCCATCAATAATTTGGAGACGCTTTGTAAAATTTAGGAGTTTACTTCGAGTTGAATCTAACAAATTCCACTTTTTAAGTCAGCATGGCAACTACATTATAGCAAGAGTAAAATGAAGAGTCATAATTAGCATAGTGTGAAATTTCAAACCAAATATAAAGAAATCCAAGCTTCTGTTGGGCATGAATTCATAGATCAAAAGCTTTTCATCTTGATGAATAGAACAACCAAGAAGTTTTGCAAGATTGCGGTGCTGAAGTTTTGTCATCAACATGACCTCATTTTTGAACTGCTCTGCTCCTTGATCAGAAGTTTTTGAAAGCCTCTTGACTGCAATCTCTTGCCCATCTGCCAATATCCCCTACCAATAGTTTTGCTAGGTATAAATTTAATTACCCTTAACCAAAGCTTAAAGGGCAAAGGGAAAATCCCGACGCACAAGAATCCCCAAATTGCGAGGATAGAGGTGAGGCTCTATTATACAACCTTACCTTTGCATTTTTGCAAAGAGGCTATTTTCCATACTCAAACCTATGGCCTTCTAGTCACAATGAACAACCTTACAGTTGTTCCAAGACTTGCCCTCACCCTTAACCAAAGCATATTTGACTAAATTTAGTTACCTTGTATACTGGTCCAAAGCCACCTTGTCCTAACTTGTTACTGTTTGAAAAGTTATTTGTGGCATTAGAGATGACTGAAAAATCAAATATAGTTGATAACTCCACGTCTTCCTTATCCCTCTTGTACTTCCAGTGAAATATTTTTAGCATCCCTGAAATGGTAGGAGATACCAATTTGGTATAATTAACAATGTATCAGTAAACAAAATAAAGGATAATAGGAGGAACATGAATGAGACTTCAGAATTGAACTCTTCATTCTAATAATACTATTACATTCTAATATTGGAGTATAGCATACCGAGTCAAATTTTACTTTTCATGAATTCACCTCTCTTTGGGAGCCTCTTCCTCTTACATGTGAATGTGGCCAGTCCAAGTAAAATGATGAATATAACAAGTCCTACTATTGTCCCTGCAAGCTTCTTGTTATTAAAGTTACTCCCTCTTTGATCTGAGGAATAGAAAAGCATTCTAGGTCAGCAAACAAGCAGCAAGTAGATGGCACTTTAGGCAAAAACAGAAAAGGAAAAAAGCATCTTAGATCACAACTTCAGTTTGAAAGCTAGCTGTAACAAAATGATCCACTAACTAGCATAGGTATATTGAAAACTATTTCTTATTGTCAGTGTTTCAGCAGGAACCTCCTAATTGTCTGATTTTTATGGTTACCATAATAGCTTCCCTGGTTTTTCATCTTCTGCTTTCTACAAGTAAATTAATTTGCTGCCTTCAACCTTCAACGTTCATCATCAAAACATTCTCCCCTCAGGCTAAGCAAATCACATCAATGGACTAATCAATACCAACAACAAGCGAACTCAATACTATATCTCAACTCAAAATCTTAAGGCATTGAATTTACGGATCTTTTTTACTCATTTGTTCCTTCCTTAGTCCATTCCTACCTAATAAGAGACTTTTTCACTCCCACTTAAATTACCAAGATAACATGAACTTAATTCAGAAGTTTATATTTTTCTCTTATGTTTGATCGAAAGGTTTTATGTTTGTTATGTTACATAACATAATTCCACTTTCCTACACATGCATCAAAGGGGAGAGAGAAAGTGGAATGATGAAAGAGAGAGAAAAATATGTGGATCCCATCTTTGATTATTCCACTTTCTCTCTCCCCTTTGCTATGTGTGTAGGAAAGTAAAGTTATGTTATGTAACATAACAGACATAAAACCCTTGATTGAAATGCAAAAGATGATACAGGAAATGAAAATACCTACCAAACTCTGAAGCTGCAAGTCGTATGTAAATATCTTGTCCTTGGTCTGTGTGCTTTGTCAAGTCCAGAATGTTATCAAACCAAAGCAAGCAACCACTCTCACCTTGTCTGACATCTAAATTTGCGTATGCTGTGCAAGAGCAGTTTTTCAAACATAATGTCTCACATTTCTCAAGGCTCAAGCTCTTGTTAAACAAGGAAGAAGATGTGTCTGGCAACTTCATTCCTTCATACTTCAGAAACCCATCTCCAATATGACAACTCAAGTTCATTCTTCTAACACACCCACCAAGCCAATCTAATGAATCCCATTTTTCTTGGAATTTTGGTACGAAACCTTCCATGCATTGACATATTTTTGGAGAGTTGGCAATATTGCAGATAGAATTAACATCACAAAAAGAGTAATATCCACACTGATCCATTGGACGAGTTGATATAATCTCCCAACCTTTTTTCCTATCTGACCATAAGAAACGTTGTGTTAAGCCTAATGGATTGAGCACTAATCTAGTAACAGTGTCACTATTCAAGGTTTCATATTGATAAGAGATTTCCTTGTCGGTATATTCTAAAGAATATTTGAAAAGATTAAGCATCCTCAGCCATGAAACCCCATTAAAAACATGGCCATTCCATGGTCCTCCTCTGCTAAATAAAGTTGCACCCTTTGTAGTAACTAGTTGAGGAAAACCATGAGCATCTACATGATATGAAAACTCACCAACAGAAGGATCTTCTGTGTTTTTCCAAGAAGTGAGAGACCTATAAGGACCAGTAACTAAACTTGTTTTGAGTTTCATTCCTGCAAGGAAAGTGTCACCAGGATAATCAAAACTTTCCCACAAAAGATTCTCTTCACTGTCTCCACCTTTCACAACAAGGTTCCCTGAATCCAAAAGCTGCATAACTGGCTTCTCTGCAGTTCTTGATGCTTTGGAGGACCACACAATGCCCCTAGAGCCATCAAGAATAACAGGATTTCCTTCATCTGTAAGTTTGAGAATTGGTGTTGACTTTTGAAGTGGGGTATCTCTATTGGCGATCCAAACAATAGTCCTTGGTGTTATGGTCTTATACCATATACCAAAGTATTGAAGTTGTGAATTTCCCAAGTTGAAGAATCCAGCTTCAAAATTTCCAGCTGCAGAAACAAGGGTGGTCTCATTACCCTGGATAGATTGATTTGGAGTAATAGTGAAAGTGCCATGTATAGGTAATGTGTGAATGAAGCACAAGAAGAAAGAGTGCACCATTAACATGAGCACCTTATGTTTCACCATTGTGTATATGATGGTTTACCATTGTTACTAGCCACTATGTCCATTTAATTAAATGCATATGAAGAAGAGGGTGAGTCCAAGTCTGTGCCTTGTGCTTGTGTCCAACTGAAAAGTAGAAACTATGATTGAGACTGCAACCTTGGAAAGTTGGACCGGCATCTCAGGAAGAAAATTTTACGGTTCATACGAAAATTTTGAGTCTATTTATTGAAATTAAATAAATAAGCCTCAATCAAAATTTACAAAGAGATAAATAGAGTTAAATTTTTTACATAATTTATTATATGATTTTTTAAATTATTTTTTCACCAGTTTATCTATTTTTATTTTGTGAAATTTTAACATAACATAATCTATTCCAAAAAAATGGCATTTGGAGATCGGCCTATCAGCAAGTCAGCTAATATGCAAAAATTTGAAGATACAGAAAAAGAGAGATGGAGATAATATATATATATATATATATATATATATATATATATATATATATATATATATATTTAACATGAAAAATCTCTCCTAATGTATATAGGAGTAAAAATCACAAGACCTACTTCAAACAAAAACTTTCGCTAATAACTCACTACAAGATTATATGATTTCTTCACCCACAAATTGATAGAATATACAATTCTTCTTCTTTGAAGAGGTTACACACTCACACTTTTATTATAGAGGAATTCTCTAAATCGGCTATTTAACATTGTTTTATTTTCATCCGGAATTAATATTTCTCGTGATGTAGGAGTTAAAAAATTTTCCTACACACATAAGAGTATAAAGGTTTATATGAAATCATGTGAAGAAAAGAGAGAGAAAAATAAAGCACAGACTTTACACACTTTTACGGGCTCTTTGACCCAAAGGGGATCTTTCAATACTTAATGTATCAACTTGGTATTTGGTTGGCATATTTTACCAATGGAGGTCTTTAAGTTCTGTGGGGTCCAACGGGTTTGAATCCTGCACTGCCTCCCGAGTGAAAACATGTTTTTTTTTTCTTTTTCATTCATGTGAGTGTCGCAACCCCCCTAAAGAACTCACACGGGTGTGCCAAATGGCATAATCTTGTTACCGTAGGCAGTCCCGTTATCATAAAACTTCGGAACGCCATAACTTTTGAATTGGGTATCCATATTAGATGATTTTTTTCACACAACTTTTTGAGATCTACGCAATGACACCTCATTTGACATATTTTATCTCTCACAAACATAGTTCAAATTTGTAATAATGGTACAACAATCACGAGCGTTAAAATCCAAAATACTAAACACTACTTATTAACTATAATGACCCTAACTGGTAAATCTTAATTAGAGATTTAATTTAAGGATTTAAATGCCATAATTAGATTCAGAGCATGATTTGGAGTATTTTGACTGTAATCATGACTAGGTTATGAACAGTGCGTTCTGCCAAATAATTTGCAATCTTGTGAATTAACCGGTAGAACTTAAAAATGAGCAAAATGATATTAGAGAAATAATTTGAAAATTCTGACGCCAAATATGAGTTCAAAACGAAAAATTGTATAGTCTGGCACTTTCCGTGAAAATCACGTGAATAGTGTTTTCTACCGGGTATTTTGTACTGCTATTTAAGCAACCGGTAGAGTCCAGAAGCAAATAATTGATGAAATAAGAATAAGAAAGTCCAGTATATGCCATGTAAGTCAAAATAGGCCCAAAAATGATAAGTTTATAAGTTTTAAGTTTCGTAAGTAAACGAAGTACAGTTAGTGATTTACACTGCATTTCGTCAACAACGATGCAGAAACCATACTATGAATTTTGAATATTGTTTCGTAGGAAATAAAAATTAATGTAAATGACTTTTAAAAAAATAAAAATATGTTTGTAGCTTTAAGTTAGTTCCTGGTCCGTTTAAGTTAAAATACGCGATAGAAAAACATCTGGTAAAAGCCACATGGGCTTAAAGGACCTTAAGTGACCTAAGGTCACTATTCCCTCACATTTTCTCTCTCCCTCTTCCCCTCCCAACCCGCGGCAGCCATGGACAAGGGAGCTTAGGTTTTTTTTTTATTTCTTTTGATTTCTTCATGAATCATCAACCAAATCCTTGGCCCATTATACCATACTCATAGGAAATCACCCAAGGAAGCCATTCCACCCCTCTATTTGAGCTGATTTCGTTTGTGGATGGATATATTCATCACCCCCTTTTCGGTTCACTATTCATCAAAAGGTGAAAAATGGAGCTTTTGATGAAGCTTTGCTTGGTGAATGTCTTCTAGGCTTGGGATAGTTGATTAGAGGTAACAAAACTCTAACCCTATGATTTTAGTCTTGTGATTTATGTTGTGAAAGTTATGAGCATGTTTGGTTGGAAATAAAGTTAGTTTAAAACTTGCATTGATGATGTATTATGGATGTTTTGGGATATAGGAACGCTAAATAAGCCTTTGTACATGTGTAAAATTGGAAAAAAAAATCCATGCGGTAGACCCTTTAGGATTCGGCCTTCATAGAGTAATTAGGATCATTGTGCAAAATTTTGTTCTATGTATTGAGAAGGTTTAATGTGTGGGATTGGGTATAAATTTAATGAATTAGTAAAAGTGCTAAAGTGGGAAAATTTCTATGGTGTTGTACACCATTTTCGGCCATGATGAGTTTTGGAGGGACTTGATGTTCCGAAATTAAATTGGAACCTTGTGGATACATACATGTGTATATGTAAGATTTTTATTAAGTGAAGAAAAGTGAATGAAAAAGAAAGAAACCCTTGGCTTCTCCTTTATGGATTTCGGCCTTATAGGGTAAATTAAGGATGATTAGATTATGTTTTATTTTGTTAGGGTGTTGAGTTTTCAATACATGAAATTAATAAGATTATGAAGTGAAATGGTTTGAAAAGAAATTATGGAAAAATATCTTGATTCCCTAAGTGTATGTCCACGGCCTTTTAAAGAAAAATGGCATGATTTATGTTGAAAATTCTCCAGTGAACATTTGATTAAATTAAAGAGCGCTAATGAGTATAATATGGTCTAGACTTGTGTATTGGCATAGGATTGGCAAAAATGTAAAGAAACGAAAATAAGCGATAAAATGTATGCCTTATGTAAAATCTAGGCATGATAGAATTTTTATTGATTTGTATTTTGGATTCCTTCTCTAGGTGTGCCTAGGGACTGAAAAGGGTTTGAATCCTGTTGAAGCGGTATAAGTAACTTGTGCCACAAGTAAGCGAATTTGAAAAGCTTCAAGAGGTAAGCTCTATGTTTAAGGAGTCTTTTCCTACATGAGTGCTCCACCATGGTTAGTGAACTATGGTTGGATTGTATGACTGTTGTTTAGATGCTTTGTATAGATGCATTCATATAAAGTTATTTGATAACATGATATGACTTGTTCTAATATGATTTATGTATTGATGATATGGTACACTGATGTCTTCTTGGGGTTTCCCTGAGATTGACGATGTACACCTCTGACATGTTCTGGTTCCGCTTGGGGTCCTCCCTTGGGAACACGTGCGTTAATTTCCGCTTGGGGTCCTCCCTTGGGAATGACAGCGCACGACTCTGATATGATATGGATATATGCTTTGTTCTGTTAAGATATTTGTTATATGTGCATTGTATACTCTGTATCTGACTTTCATGCAGGAGTGAGCTAGGGGTATGGAGAATTCTCTATAAACCTGGAGCTTATTGAGATTGTTATCTCACCCCTCTTTGGGGACATCATTTCAGGTGCCCAGATTCCCGGTGAGTCCTCACTAGGCAGGGACGCGACCCGTGGTTGAGAAGTTGGGACGGATCAGTTTTTGAGTAGTTGTAGGCTACTAACCTTTTGGAGTGCATTTATGTTATTTAGTATTTCTGCATTTGATGGATCATGATGTTGGATCCCTTACTTTGTATATGGCCTGTATATGTCTTGTACATGTCCTTCAGTTTGATGCATGTTCTTTTGTGTATTCAGGCATGTGGATATAACTATGTAGTATTCAGTTATGTTTTATGTATTGGATTGCATGCTGTTAGATTAGTGGCACGGAGCCAAACTATGCATGTGCCCATGGATGGGTTTATGATTATATTTGGATGTCTGTGATACGATACCAAAATTGATTGCTAGGCCCAAGAGGTTGGCAGGGGCTCCTAGTTGGGCTAAGGATTTCCAATCTCATTGACAATTGCATCTGTTAATAGAGAAATGGTAGCCCATGTGTCAAGTGGTATCTGTTAGGGGTTGTAAGGTGTCAACCGTGGGAAGTGTTAGTTGTATTACGTGTCAGTTTGTGGTTGTTAGGAACCATGACGTGTTGTAATTGGGTTTATGGTTAGTATTGAGTATATAACTCAATTGTAACAGAATTCAGATTCATTCAATAAGAAATCAGTTCATTGTTTTTTTTTTCACGTTCTGCTCTTATCAATTGGTGCTTTCACCTTCTTCTCCACTACTTGCAACCATGAAGGTGCAAGAACTTGCAGAAGAATTTGGATCCTTTAGGCTTCGTATTGAGCAGCGTTTGGATGATAATCAAGCACAGATTGCAACCTTCAATACTCAACTCCAGCAAATTCATGCTGCGGTGCTGGGATTGGAAACTCGTGCTCATGATTCTGGTATCAAACAAAACCCTAGTCCTTTGTCTGATTCTACTCATTCTTCGGCTTCCAATGTTCACGGTGTTCATCACGGAGATCATCATGATCCTCGTTCCTTCTTTAAGTTCGTACGCATGGATTTTCCTCCATTTGTTGGTGTTGACCCAAATGGTTGGATCTTCAAGGCAGAAATGTTGTACGCACTTCAAAATGTGCCAGAGGAGTACAAGATTCAACTCGCTGGGTTGAAGATGGAAGGCATGGCTGGACCGTGGTATCAATGGCTCTATAAAGGAGGTACTCTTAAATCTTGGTCTGATTTTAAGGTAGCGCTGAGACAGAGATTTGGAGCCGAGGCTTATATGGATTTTCGGGGAGTTCTTTCTAAACTCTCTCAATCGGGTTCAATGAGTGATTACATTCGGGATTTTGAAGC